TTTCTCGCAGAGTTGTAGCGGATAGGACTGCTTTCCCACCACTAGACAACAGGGTCTCCAGCTTCTTCTTTTCCTATGGTGCAGGGAGAAGAGAAAGAGGTCCTCTAGACTGTAAGCTCATTTGAGCAGGGTCCTCAACTACCTATTGTTCCTGTTAAATTTTGTTATTGTCTCCTTTTATTGTAAAGCACTGCGGAATAAGCTGGCGCTATATAAATACCAATAATAATAATATTAAATCGAGAAAAGTGTGTAAGTGTAGTCATGTGACTGGGTATGCATATGGTATGTGAATGCGTCTATGTATCTATACAACTGCGTATGTATGTATGTGACTATATGTGTATGTTTGTGTATCTACACCCTGTTCCAAATTATTATGCAAATGCTATTTTTCTCATTTATCTAAATAATTGATGTAAACAACAGTCAGCATAATTCTCATGTTATCAACTATTAAAGGACCACTATAGTGCCAGGAAAACATACTCGTTTTCCTGGTACTATAGTGCCCTGAGGGTGCCCCCACCCTCAGGGACCCCCTCCCGCCCGGCTCTGGAAGGGGGAAAGGGTTAAAAACTTACCTTTTTCCAGCGCTGGGCGGAGAGCTCTCCTCTTCTCCTCCTCCTCCTCCCCTCCTGGGCTGAATGCGCACGCGCGGCAAGAGCTGCGCGCGATTCAGCCCGTCGCATAGGAAAGCATTTACAATGCTTTCCTATGGACGCTGCGTTTCTCACTGTGAAAATCACAGTGAGAAGCACGCAAGCGCCTCTAGTGGCTGTCAATGAGACAGCCACTAGAGGATTAGGGGAAGGCTTAACCCATTCATAAACATAGCAGTTTCTCTGAAACTGCTATGTTTATAAAAAAATGGGTTAACCCTAGAAGGACCTGGCACCCAGACCACTTCATTAAGCTGAAGTGGTCTGGGTGCCTAGAGTGGTCCTTTAAGAGTACAATTCAAATTTCATTGAAAAACTTCCAAATGATAACAGTATTATTTTTAAACATAAAAAACTTACAATGAACTGTTCCAAATTATTACGCACAGTAACTTTCAAAACACTTTATAGGTTGTAAAGAACCGAAAATTGTCATTTGTTGTGTTTGCAGCATATTTACTGAAATCAAAAGCTATTTCAATCAAACTTATAACAACATTTTAACTTTTTAAAAATTTTAACAGATCACGTTACATTTTTACATAGGACCCCTAATTTGATAGCAGCTTCACAAGTCTTACATCCGTTGAACTTGTGAGTTTTTGGACAGTTTCTGCTTGAATTTGTTTGTCAGAATAGCCTCCCAGAGCTGCTGTTTGGATGTAAACTGCCTCCCACCCTTATAGATCTTTTGCTTGAGGATGCTCCAAAGGTTCTCAATAGTATTGAGGTCATGACTTTCTCTCCTTTTATCCCCATAGCAGCCATTGATGCAGAGGTATTCTTTGCAGCATGAGATGGTGCATTGTCATGCATGAAGATGATTTTATTACGGAAAGCATAGTTCTTCCTTCTGTACCAGGGAAGAAAGTGGTCAGTCAGAAACTCCACATACTTTGCAGAGGTCATCTTTACACCTTCGGGGACCCTAAAGTGGACGACCAGCTCTCTTCCCATGATTCCGGCCCAAAACATGACTCCACCACCGCCTTGCTGACGTCGCAGCCTTGTTGGAACAGGGTGGCCGTCCACCAACCATCCACTACTCCATCCATCTAGATGATCCAGAGTTGCACGGCACTCATCAGTGAACAGGACTGTTTGAAAATTAGTCGTCATGTATTTTTCTGCCCAATGCAGCCGTTTCTGCTTGTGAGCATTGGTTAGTGGTTGCCAAATAGAAGGTTTATGCACAGTTGCAAGACTCCGGAGGACTCTACACCTTGATGTCCGTGGGATATCAGAGGCACCAGCATCTTCAAATATCTGTTTGCTACTATGTAATGGTATTTTAGCAGCTGCTTTCTTGATCCGATGCATGGATCTGGCAGAAATCTTCCTCAATGTGCCTTTATCTGCACAAACCTGTCTGTGCTCTGAATCAGCCACAAATCTCTTAATAGTGCGATGATCATGCTTAAGTTTTCGTGAAATATCTAATGTTTTCATACCTCGTCCAAGGCATTGAACTATTTCACTCTTTTCGGCAGCAGAGAGATCCTTTTTCTTCCCCATATTGCATGAAAATGATGCTCTGCTTAATAATGTGGAACACCCTCCTTTAGTAGTTTTTCCTTAAATTGTGCTCACCGAGCAATCTTATTATCACAGGTGTCCGAGATTGTTTTCAGTGATCAAAAGAGCCCTGAGACACAATGCCATCCATGAGTTAAACTGAAAAATAAAATATTTAATCTTTGTGACACTTAAATAGAATTTGCATAATAATTTGGAACAGGGTGTATGTGATTGTTTTTGTGTGTCAATCTGGGATTGATTTCCACTTAGGTAGAGTAGGCACCTGTCTACAGGTGCATGCTTGATGGGGGCGCCTACTCTGCCTATTAAAAGCCTTGTCCCTCCTTCCTGCTGTTGTCCACTGCTCCAAGATACTGGGATCTCTGTATTCAGTCAGAGAAAGCCTGTTGTATGCATGACCCTGCCCCCTCAGAGTAACCACAGTGCCTCCTGGAGGCAGAGGAGGATTGGCCAGGAGAAAGGACAGGATTGTGGCAACTGGAAAACTGTTGTAACCCCTGGTGGGGATCATATCACCCAAGCACTTTGGATTGAGCAAACTGGAACTTGCTCTTTAGCATTGAGTACCTCACCAAGTATCACAGGTGGGGATTATACCACCTATGCTGATTACACTGAGAGGGTTATCTGCTCAGGTAAATGTGAGTATTATTCATTTATTTTTTACTCCTGGTTACATATATTTTATACAGAGAGCACTATTTTTTGCACTCTTGTTTGTATTTTCATGTATACCTGCCGACACGTACTGGCCTATACCTTTCATCATATCCCTGAAGTGGGGGAATAAAACCACTGCAAGCGCTTCACACTAGAGCTGGTTTTAGCTCTATCACATGTGAGTAGGCCATTTTGGATTTCCTTTTACTCAAGCTTTTAATATATTTTAAGCATATTACACTATTGGAACTCTTTTCTTCTTTTTTATGTCCCTGGACTTCGATTACCTGGAAGGCATATTCACCTGAAGATACAGGCAAACTTTTATAGACTTACCTACACTCTTATTTTCCACTTTGGACTTTTTTGACTCATTGCTTATCTGTACGTGTATCAGACCAGTCGTATACTCTAGCTAGGAGTATGATAAAGTTCCACATTGTGAGGCCCAGCCCTCCATTGTAACCGCAGGTCGTTCCCTTATTTACCACTATAATGTCTTAAAGCATAGAACTTAGTAGAGCTAACCATACAGATATCTTAGCCATAATTTTATCTGGTCAGTAAGAGATCCTCTATTTAACATATATAAATAATTGAGAATACAATAAAAAATAAGGATTGTCTTGGAAGCAATAACATTTTGTCTTTTTGATATTTATTTTATAAAAATATAAATATAGACATATAAAATCCATATAGCAGAGTTTCTAAGATTAAACTAAATGCTTGCAAATATCATTAATAGGTTAACATACCCTTCTGAACATGTCATCATGTCAGCCTCTCTGTCATTTTAAGATGGAGCAGTATCTGTCTCCAAGTCTCCCTCTGCGTCTTAACATTTAAAAGTACACACATTTATACCTTAGGTGTCTCCATTTTAGGGTTACCGTAGTTCATATATGAAAAAGTAACTTTTTTACTTTATTCATTTTAGGACCTCCCTTAATTTGGCAAACATACAAGGCCATAACTAAAGGGTGCATACGTCATGGAAATTTTCCTGACTTAGTTCAAGATGGCATCTTAAAGTTTGGACATCCTTATCTACATAAGGTTACCACAATATATTGTGTACTGAAAGAGTCGTGGCATAGCCTTGAAGCTTGTTTATGCATAATTGTTATTGTAATTCTTTTGGGACAAAATGGTGCAAACATATTATGCACTGGGGTTATTGCTTAAAGAAATAGTTATGAAAAACAATATGTTCCATTTCTAACACCTTGTCAGTTTGCAATATCTCTTAAAGACAAAGTACACAGTTTAAGAAATACAACATTTCATTCTAAAACTTGTAATATTTGCATTTGCCCATAACACCATCTGCTTTTGTTCTAGTTAGTAAAGAGTATGGAAGCCTGGGGTGTTTGTTGTACCAGACACATTGTGTAATGTGGTGAAAAATAGAATATGGGTATATTATCAAAGTTGTGATCCCATTCCCTTTTTTGTTTAATTTTTGTCTTTTTATTATTGTTGTTGTGGGTTATGCCCACCATTGGAGAGGCATAAAAAGCTCTATTAACACGTAACACACACACACTGCTACCTACAGTGTTACACACTCTACACAAACACATGCAGATAAATGCATATTCACAGAGACATTTACACACAATGCTACAGATGCACACACTTGCTCTTTATGTGTGTGTACATACAACAATTGTTATATTTAAATGGTCGAGTTTTTTTTATTAGTTTAGAGGGAAGCAGTTGAGCTTGAAAATTTTGTACCTACATGTGTTTGTGATGCAACTCCGGCCCTGGTGTCTATGTATATGACTGTGTCTATTTGTGTGGCTGAGTGATTGCGTGTCTATGTATGTATGAGACTGCTTATGTATGTATGTATGTATGTATGTATGTGACTGTGTGGGATGTTGTGTCTATGTACTGATGTAACTGATTTTTTTGTCAATGTATGTGACTGTTACTATTTCATTAACTTTCCAGTTCAACAATTTTCTCCTAAACTTTTGCAGTTCCCAATTATTCACAATTCCTTACCTGGTAAATACACCCGTTATTTAATAACCATCATTACAAACAAAGGCAAGTCTATCCAAAACATTTAACAATAAAGCTCTTTATTTATAAATCTCTATTTACAGGATATTTACAGAACATTGAGGGGGAGTTGGGGAGGTGTTCACGATGAAGGGGACATGCACTTCCAGTCTGAACTGTGACTGTAAACAAACTCTTTCCTGTGGAACAAAACATGCAAAAGAAAGGAATTAGTGAGAAACACAAAACAATGCCAATAAGTATTCTAAGGCACTGAGTAAACAGGCACCTGGAACATCCATTACAGTTGAGGATGGCAGTTCTCCACCCTTTCTGTGTTTATAGTCATGTCAACAGAGAACACTTACTCTCGCTTTCTTAATGTGGAGCTGCAGATCAGGCCTTCCTCACATGGGCATAGTTGGTTCATGCTGAATGCTAGACCACCGTCTGGAACAAAACAGCTGTCCCCAGCAGGAAGCTTGCGTTTGCAGATCATCTCTCCGTGATGTCTGGCACAGCACATAGAAGGGGCACAGTCCTTATCCTGCTTACAGCGAGACCCTGTGAAAATATTTTTTTTATTAATAGAGGCTCCAATTCTCATCTTTGCAGTCTGAAACACTATCTTAGCAATTCATATATTTGCCATAATGAGATAACCGGTAAGTACTCCAACTAATATATGTATCATTTTACATATATATATATATATATATATATATATATATATATATAATGGTTTGGGTATATATATATATATATATATATAATTTTAAAGAGGAACGTTCAGTCCTGTGGAATTTACACCACTGAATAAAATATTGAAAATAACCACTAACTTTTGTTCACATTTTGTTCATGAGATGCTCTAATTTCTTTTAATTTTATATTAAAAAAATGAAAAATCACATCACCAACTAATTCACACAAGGTAAAGTCAGTGAAAACATGGCAAATTAGAATTTTAAATAAAAACATTTTTTAATTTCTCCACTTCTCTGTATGATTTTTCTAGTGCAGGACTTAGCTCATTGGCTGAGACTGATGAGCTAGCCCTGTCCTGTAAAGCTTCACCTAGGTGAGCTAAAGGAAGCCTCTGCTTAGGGTCTTCAGGTTCTAGTAGTGGAGGCGGGGATGAGCTGCCTGACATAGTTATAACAAGTGTATATTTTTAAAGATATATGATGTGTTACATTCACTACCAGCTGATATAGCACGGAGTGGACGTTGCCAGTATATGATGCAACCCTGCTGTTACCACAGAATGAAAGAATCACTATCGCGTTAGGAGTACAAATGTGTATTCCTAAAACTACAGTGCCCTGCTGTTGGCCGTTTATGTCCCTGACCTCCACATGTAGGGAGTAAAAAAAAAGAAAAAAAAAAAGGGGAGTTTTAATTTCTCCCTCATTGGTGTCTAGCCATCTTGGTTGAGATCATCAAGAAAAGAATTGTGAGGCTGCTGCGTATGCGTGGTAAAATACTGCACTTTGCCAACCAGATAGAAATTGCAGAGTTTTACTCTGCAATTTCAGCGGAAGCGCGTCTAGTGGTTGTGTTAGTGACTGCAAGTAGAAACATTTAAACCTAGAAGTGGAACTACCATTGGTGCAAATGCATAGGGTCCTACAAGCTCAGGGGTCTAATGCACTTAGGGCCACCCAATGGGTATTCCTGAACAGGGGTCAGGCACAGTCGACCTTTAACAACACGACTGGGCCTCTGTAGTACAAATCAATATAGCTGACTTATGGTTCTCTTTTAATTGGCTGATACAAACTAGTTACTCTCTCCAGGTTACAGTGAGCAAATGTCAGCATATGGAAAACGGTGCTTCACACCATGGAAGTGCACTGCTCAGGATAAAAGTAAATGTATCTTAAAGTGCATATAATTTTCTCATATTAGTTGCATGTTTAATCTTTTCTTTTAGTAGAGAAGCAAAGTTAAAAAATGTATAGTTCATATTCAAAACTAGAATTTTAGGCTAGAACAATGTAGTTGTATGTAGATAATATTACACAAACATATAGAATTATAATATACACAAAAACTGGATGCTAAACAATAAGGCGGTGTAATGGACTGTAATCAACCATGACGTAGATTTTAGAACAAACATCACAACATATAAATTGCCTTACCTTCATGTCCATCTGGTATGATCTGTTGACACTTCCCATACATACAGCCCAATCCACGGACACACTGAGAATCTTTTCTACAAAACTGTCCTTCATGGCGAAGTGCCATACATAGCCCAAAATGCCGGTCACAGAACAGACCCCGTCCGCATGCACGATCATTGTCACAAGTTACCTGGGAATTAGAATAGAGAAGATCGGAATGAGCAAAGAATGGTCGCAATAACACTTAAGAGAAGGGGTTAAATATAGTATTTACAGAAAGATTCAAATGAATGTTATCAAAGGGAGCAAGTCATTCTGTTTAAAAATAAATCTCTGATTTTCACAGTAGATAAAACATTTCTGTTAAAAAAAAAATGATGCAGTTTAGTTAAGCTATCAACTGCAACCTTTCACCTGAGATAACCTGTTAAATACATGTTATCTCAAGTAGGTGTTAATTTGTGGTTTTACCCCCTGCTCTATGCAAACAAAGTGCAGATTCCAGAGACAACAATGCACTAGTTATTGGTTTTCTGGAACAACAAACTACTTATCAGAACATAGAAGTTGGCAACTGGACAAGCAATGTATTATAATCTGTTACTCCTGTAAAAGCATAGTTATCCTCAATTATATATATATATATATATATATATATATATATATATATATATATATCTATCTATCACAACCTTGGGTTATGTATACAGAGCTAGTGCTTCTGATAATACATGTTATTTTCAGCATTAGACATTGACCTGAACACAGTCATTGAAAACAACAAATTCTTAGATTAGAAGACAAAATATCATGAATACTGTCACACCCACTAGAACATAACTAGGGGATAAAAACACGTTTTCAGTACTGTGAATGTGAAGTCTACAACAGGTGAGTTTTCTTAGATGCACAAGTAAAAATGAAAATGGACCCCAAGGATTGCATTTTTTACCTCTTAGAGTTCATTAAATTTGATTGACTGGAATTTTTTTGTGAATTTAAAATTAAGACTAAACTGATTTGGGGACTGGAATATCCTCTTGTTCTATTCTTGATATTTTTATCTGAAATTGTTTTTGCTGAAAAGTATTTCAAAAAAGTTACACAAAATGTAAGCCAAAACAGAAACATATTTGACTTCTAGAATTTTAAATGCGCACTTTATAGTCTATTGTCCAATAATTGACTTTCTAATGTCCAATGATAATATTTTTTTAATTTCCTGACCATCGTGAAATACGTTAGCCTCAACACAGTCCAGCTGGCATCTGTGTCCAACAATAAACTTATCTCTTGTAAATTAACAATTTTCTCATAGACTTGAACATGCAATGCTGAGCTAAAGCAGATATATGTAATGCATTTCATCAACTGTATACATATCTACTTTCATGGCTTGAAAGGAAAACTATAAGAATCTCACAAATTCATGAATCAGAATAAGAACTCATAACACATTCAGGTATTTAAGAATCTAAAAGAGAGCAAGCGTAATTTGATGGAAGTACTTACTGTGGATCCCTTGATTGTAGCAGTCCTGGTAAGCCCAGCAGCATCTCCAGGTTTGTTATAGGGCATTGAAAGCATCCAAGCCCAAATATGTCCATCACTAAAATGCAGCAGAGAAAGCAACAAGGACAACAAGGACACCAACAGCTTCATGGTTCCAATGGGATATAAAGCATTCAGAGGACAGCTCTGCTTTATATAAAGAGTGCAGGTTCCTCCCCTTTCTGCACCCTGCTCACTGTTTGCCAACATAATGGGGCAATCAGTATTTATCTGCTTAACCTAATTACCGCTCCCTCCCTTTCAGACCCAGAACAATTTGCCACCCTGCAGAGAAACAAACCCAATTACATGGGAACATGCAGGGTATTCATTAGTGTCAATCACATCCATCCTAATAGGAATTTACAGACCTGCCGCATCTTTGTATAGGATATTAGCGAATATTCAGGAAGGTGTCATAGTTCGTAATGGATTTATATTTATTGGTGGCTAAAGCATTTTCATTTACTTGTTAGTTAGAGAAAGATTCAATCCCTAAGTTTGTTTAACCTTAATGGAAAATGAGAAATAAGTCAATCACCACTTAATGGGAAATGGGAAGTAAACTAGTCACCACTTTAACCCCCTTGTGATGTGATTAAATGGTAAGTGCTGTATCCCAGGATTTTTAATATTTCACAAATAAGTCTTATATAAAAATAAAATTAAATGTAGAATGCACACCTCTTTTCCTGCCATTTGGCTCCACCATCTTATTTTTCACTCAATCCTTGATATAAACTCTGTTCTAAGCACCTGGCAGTCAGCATCAAGGAAGCACACAATAAAAAGGAAGAATAAAACAACATTTCTATTTCTCCACTTTGTTCGCATTTTTTTGCTCTGCTTTGCCTGACTGGATTGTGATGTCATTTTTTAAATCTTTATTATAAATGTAAAAGAAAATGGAGCATTGCATGGAAAAAGTTAACACAAATGACATGTGATTTTCAAAGTTTTATTCGATGGTGTAATTTCCAGAGACAAGACAGCTCTCTTTCAATGTGGTGGTTTTGGTGCACAGGTGTTGCCCCTTTTTCCATCATAAAATATTTCAAAATTCCAATATTTACATTTGTCCAAGAACATGACTAGAGGCATTTCCTCTTTAAGGGCTTAAATGAAAAGATTATGTATTGAGTGAGGATAACAGTTATGTGATATGAATGAATTAGGGCTTAACATTTCCACTACACCTGCATTTCCACATATTTAATCTGCATGCAATAGCATATCACTCCATCCAAACATATCCCCTGCATTCACACACACTCAGTGGTGTATCCTGGTCCCCTCCCCAGCCCCTCCCAAGCCTTCTAAATACACACACACACACACACACATTCACTGACAGATACGCATACACTCGCTAACAGAAACACACACACACACACTAATAGACACACTCACACTCACTAACAGACACACACTCACTGACACACACACTCACACTAACAGACACACTCACACTAACAAACACACACACACACACACACACACACATTAACAGACACACACACACTCACAGGCAAACACACACACATTAACAGACACACACACTCATAGGCAAACACACTCACACTAACAGACAACATAGTCAGACACACACACTAACAGACACACACACACTAACAGACATATACACACACTCACTCACATTAACACATTTTTATTTCTTTTTTTATTTCTTCTCTCCCGGGTGGTCCAGTGGCTGCCAGTCGGGCTGATGGGCTGGCTGCTGGGCGGGCGGCTGGCGAGTGAGCTCTTCCTCTGAGCGGTCTGCTCAGCTCCCTCGCGCGCCGCAGACTGAGGCTGGGAGCTGGGTTGATGATGTCATATTCCGGCTCCCAGCCTCACTCTGCGGCGCGCGAGGGAGCTGAGCAGTCAGCTCAGAGGAAGAGCTCCCTCGCCAGCCGCCCGCCCAGTGCTCGGCATGTCTGTTAGCCGCGAGGCTAACTAGGCATTTGCCCTGGGCATTTGGGGGGCGGCGTTTTTTGCCGCCCCCTGGAAAATGCCGCCCAAGGCAAATGCCTTGTTTGCCTCGCGGCTAAAACGCCCCTGCACACACCAACACTCCACATACATAGATCATTGGATTTACATACGCTAACCCTGCACATTTCTGTATTCATACTAGAATGCCATGGAAAAACACCTCTGCATTCATCCACTCCACACACATGCATACTATTGGTCAAAATCATCAGCCTGCAATATACACCTGTATTCACTTACGCTCCAACCCTCCACTCTTCTACATCCTTACATTCATACACACCAACTCTCTATGTAAATACATCCTTGCATTCCCACAAAATAGGATTTCACACAAACACAAACCTACATTTACAGTAATACACCTGTGCTTTCAGATACACTTATTTTACACATCACTACGCCCCTGCACTTAGAAACACAGATACACTAATGCATGCAGAACTACTGTCCCTATCAATGAAAATACTGCATTTTCACACAATGATACTCCGTGCTGTAGACAAGTGGCAAATCAAATGCATAATGCGGCACACATTCCGTTATGGTGGCAATTAACTTTGCTAATGAAATTCAAGGTTATACACAAAAGTGTATTTCTAATTTAAGGTTAAAATTGCCAACTGGAAAAATCCAGCTGCTCTGGCCTCATATTTGAAATAAACGTCTAATTCTCACATTGGTATATCACCCTGTTAATATTTTATTGATTAAATAACACACAAAGCACCAAAACCACAACAGTGTGATGTAGCAATTATGGTGCCTGAAGGGAGATGGCACCCCTTTCCTCCCATTGTAGGTATTTAAACAACTTTAGAATGGTATGACTTCTTACTTGGGGTCAAGACGGGCACTGCTCACTGCCTCCACTATTTTCATCTATTGAGAAAGAGAGCTAGAAGCAAGGCTTAGCTCATTGACTGAGAGTGATCATCTAATACTCTCAGCCAACCAGCTAGCCCTGCACTGCAGGAGTTTAGCTCAGGACAGCTAACAGAACAAATCTCATTGGGAAGTGGTGGAGATGAGGAGCTAGGAGCTAGACCCGGTGGCACTTCATGTCAGGTCAGACCTTATAACGAGGGTCCTGGAGAACCATTTTAGTGCGCTGTACTGGTTATTGTGCTTGAAGGGTTCCTTCAGAAATTTTGAGCCACTTGCATAGTATATTTTCTTCAAAAGCACTAGCACATTTGGAAGCTAAGTAAGTATCATCTGAATAAAGGTAACAAGTAGAATAGAAACAGGATGATTAAACTAATGCAGGTGGTAAACGAAGGTAAAAAGAAAGGCTGCTACAGTTTAAACTGTCAACACAGAAGAGGAAATGGACTGGGAAGAAATTACAAAGAACAACACTACAGGCCATAGGAGCAGTAGTGAAGAATTTACATGTTAATATAAAGGTTTTACTTTATAGATTGAATGTTAAATGAACAACAAGTAAGAAAAAAGAAATTCAACATCAGCAAACAGATCAGACTGAAGGAGGCCTAATTGGAAAATTCCTAAAGTATTGTCCACGGAGATTGGTGTAATCTGTAATGGACATATAATGTGGTTTTAAAAAGAATCAGAACTGCCCAGTTACTGTTCAAAACGGTAAAATGAATACCCATTTCTCATCCATGTGATAGACAATCTACACATATAAAGACACAAAACGTGAGTGATGTGTCATCTTGCAAATCAATATTTAAGTGGGTCTGTCATGCTGCTTTATATAACGTAGTGTAAACATTATTTTACAAGTTGCTCAGAATGTTCTAAGCTCTATTAGTAAGTGGGAATTTTGAATTCTCCTGAGTTCCATACAACACAACAATTCAATGCATGCAATGTTTTGGTAGGAATTAATTTAACAAATGCTTCCTGAGAGTCAGGGCAACAACCATCCTAACATTTCTGGACAAGGAAATATGCAGATTAGGAATTATATATGAATACAAGAGTGAAATGATCTAATGTATTTTAATATTATGCTTGCGCTTACAGGTGAGAACAGAACCTTTACCAGAATGCACCTGACATAACACATTATGTACAGTATGAATTTAATCATATGTAATATCACATTTCCCACTTTGGTAGGTTGAGTGCTGCCTGGGAAAGGCACATGGGCAATTGAGATTTTAGCCAATCCTTTTAGAGTCAAATATGAGTATATTATGCTTGCACTTTTTTTTAGATTATTACCTTTTGTGGAAAGTAAACTATATAAATGGTAAATATATATATATATATATATATATATATATATATATAATCATCATCCAATGTTTGCTGTTTTTGAGAGTTGCAAAACATTGTTGGAGTAATAATGTGTAATTAAAGTAACAGTAATTTGGACACTTTGTTTTAACTTAACATATTGTACTAGTTATCTGGAAACAATCCATTGGCCTTTTCATAACCTGCACTGTTTCATTTACAAGGTTACCTATATTTATGCTCTTAAACATAGAAACATAGAATGTGACGGCAGATAAGAACCATTCCGCCCATCTAGTCTGCCCAATTTTCTGAATACTTTCATTAGTCCCTGGCCTTATCTTATAGTTAGGATAGCCTTATGCCTATCCCACGCATGCTTAAACTCCTTTACTGTGTTAACCTCTACCACTTCAGCAGGAAGACTATTCCATGCATCCACTCTTCTCATTTGTATCATGTCTATTATATCACAAAACAATATAATTCACAAAAATACAATATATAGTTTTCTATGACATATTGATTAAGATTCGGCGTTTATAAAATAAAGTAAAAATCTACAGGTTTACTTTAAGAGGTGAAAGCGGGTGTTCTACGAATATTATTAGGCTTGCTACGCAAACACAAAGTTGATTACAGTAGACAGATAGAAGACAACAAATCCCCAGCAGCTAAGGATGCTTTTTCTGTCTGTTAGGAGCCACCCTTTAGCATTGCAGGTAATTAGTGAGAGAATCATTAATTGTGTAATCAATCTTGTCAGACCATCCTGGAGACGAGATCCTGCTGGGTGGTGTGTGCAGAAGCTTATACTGAGCAGAAAACACTGTGGGGGATCAGTGCTAGTTTGTATGTCACTTAACTATTAGCACCTTCTACATTAGTATAAAAACTTTAGCCAGATTAGTTAATCACCTGGTATAATATGAATAGCACAGCAGAGGAATACATTTTATGGCAATTAGGAGTGGGACAAAATAATGGGGCAATGTTTACCAAAGACAGAATGAAATTACCCTGTTAGTAAAGAAATTGAATGCGGCTAATCACTGACTCTTGCTTTGTCTAATCATCATCTAATCTTTGTCGAATATCACACCTGTTTAATTTTGCATCAAAATTCCATCCAGGAAATGTTTGTCTTGACTTAACCCTCAAAACATTTGCATTCGCTTCTATGGCAATATACCAAGCAGCTACTGGGCAATTGAGATTTTAGCCAATCCTTTTAGAGTCAAATATGAGTATATTATACTGGCATATTTTTTAAAGGGCAACACCCATCTTTTTTAATTTTAGCATTGAGCAAATACATATTAACTATGCAGCATGCTCACATTCAATTGTAAGATAAGGTAAAGTAGGATACAACTGAACATTAGAAAGGTTTTTATTCTGGTACTTGTCAATTAATCGTCCTCTACTACAATCAATTTTGTCCACAACATTTTGGTGGGATCGTCTGTTCCAAAGAATGGAACACAGTGCAAAAGATTTAATACACAAATACCTGTTCTAATTACCCCTAATCCTTCAAGAAAGTATCTCGTAAACAAACCAAGTTCCATGCTTGAATTCAGAGCAAAAAAAAAAAGCTTGTAATGTCATGGTAAACTTACACCACCTGAGAAACCCTCATAAAATATTATAACATCACAATAAATTAAAGGTTACTCTAGGCTGGACATTTTACTCTTTTTAATGAATCATATGGTTAATACATTAAAAATTCTTAAAAAGGACAATCACATCTCTGGAAATTAATTATTTACAAATAGAATGGGTGAAAAACAGACACCCTCTAATAGAGATGTCGCGAACGGTTCGCCACGAACCGTTCGTGGCGAACTCCGGTCAGCTGACACATCCCGGCCAATCTCTAGCAGACCCTCCCTCCCAGACCCTCCCACCTCCTGGACAGCATCCATGTTGAAGCTGCCTTCAACATGGATGCTGTCCAGGAAGTAGGAGGGTCTGGGAGGGAGGGTCTGCTGGAGATTGGCCAGGATGTGTTAGCTGACCGGAGTTCGCCGCGAACGGTTCGCGGCAAACAGTGGCGAAGCATTCGCGAGAAGTTCGCGGACGGTTCGCGACAAGTTCGCGGACGGTTCGCGACATCTCTACCCTCTAATGGACTCAGTTTACATTTTGGGAGTATAGCTACATGCCACTGCATCACTAGCAGAAGAGATTTTCTACTGTAAACTGCCAAAACCCTGTTATTTTTACATATAAAGTCTGACAAAGTTACAGTGATCTAGACTCAAGTTAAAACAATTCAACATTTCATACACAAGCGTTGTTGCTGTTGATGCAAAAGAAGGCAAATAATATTATCATTTCAAAATAATAATGGTAAGTTATTTTCAGTTTTGGCTCTAAGATGGCAATAAAACATAAAACTATTGTACAATTAAAAAGCTATGGCACCGGTGTGACCGCTGGCAAGCAGATAAGCTGCAGTTGAAGGGGAAAGCATGAGCACGACGAATAATACTGATGATGTATGAAACAGACATGTAGGCTGGAAAGGGCACTGCCATGAAAAATGGATTAAGGAATTGACAGTGATAGAAGGACTGTTAAGGATGGAATAAGGAAAACAGTACAGACATAAAGTACAAAAGAACAAGATGGAACAAGGAAAACAGTACTGACATAAAGCACAAAAGAACAAAATGGTGGAGTTATAGATTGAATATGAACAGATCTAATAGGAGCTGAGGAAGAGGACAATGAAAATAAGACCTGGTTACTATCTAACATCAGTTGATTTGTGCAGTAATTTGAGTCATTGGGTTCACAAAGGTACCTTACAGTACCTACTGAGTTTGACATGACAACCGCTATAAAGGGTAAATTCCAGATGTTCTTACTCTAAAAGCCATTTCCACTGCTGTAGGTGAAAAGTATTTTCTCTGTGGTTGAATGGATGACCTTTGTCCTTTATACAGCACTGTAAACAAACAGGATACCAGAGAGCAATTAGTATTGATGCTGTATCTATTAACCCCTTTAAGGATGGAGGCAATTGTACAAGTTCTGACCAAAACAAACCTAGAATTTGAGCTCTATGTTTGTTCAAACACTATTTACCTCTTTCATATTAAGTGCATCCACACTTCTTATATTTTTTTTTCAGGAGAATTAGGGACATCAAATATTTATATGAGAAACATAATTTAATATGAATAAAATCTAAACAAGTGTGAGAAATTCGAAATTGTTATTTTCCAAGTTCTGTGTGAAATTTTAGCTATGAATGTCATAATACTGTTAGCTTTTACTGTAATAAAATACACACGAATGCTGTGATGTCCCGAGTATACAGATGCCACAATGATATCTTCGTCACTATATGCTTTTCTGCTCTAAAACATTAATATTTTGTAGAGTGATGTCTCACAAGTACAACAATACCCATGTACAGGTTTTATGGGGTTTTAGAAAGTTACAGGGTCAAATAGAGGGCTTGCCCAGTTCAGTTTTAACACGTTGAAATTTGCCAGATTGGTTTCCTGGGTCTATGGTGTCTATGAGACAGTATGGTGGCCCAGAAATTAAAATTACCCCCACCATAGCATACTATTTGAAACGTAGACAACCCAGGGTATTCAATATGGGATATATCCATACTTTTTAGTAGCCACTTAGTCACAAATCCTGGTGAAAATTGTATTCATTTTTGTTTTTGCATTAACCACACACCAGCACGTTTACTGATGATATCATTGTCACTATACATTTTATTGCTCTAAAACACTCATATTTGTGTTTATCAATGTCTCACGAGTACAACAGTACCCCTCCATGAACAGGTGTTATCGGGGCTGGTGCAAGGATTTTTGGTGTCCTAGGCAAAAGAAAAAATTTCCCTCTCCCCCCCATGTGACATCACAATGCCCCACCCATATAATCTGCCATATGAACTAACGCCAGTGCTGCACACAGTGTGTGTTTACATTAAAAAGCCTGCAGACAGGCTATAGACACCAGAACCACTACATTAAGCTGCAGTGGTTCTGGAGACTATAGTGTCCCTTTAATGTGAGGTAAATTAGAGATTAGTGCCACAAATAATATACTAGATTGCCTACTTACAACCAGATGAGGATGATGGGCTCTGGCTGCAGTCTGGCTCCACTGGTCTGGTGTAGAACAGGTTCTCTGGTGGCTGTTTGTAACTGTGGTCACAAAAGTCAATGTTCTAGAGGAACATGAAGCAACTCCATTTTTTGGGGCCCCTTGCACAGCTCAAGGTCTTGGCCCCCAGGGCCTGACGATGAGTATGCCCTTATGGCCCACCCATAAGTTTGCTCACAGGGAGTGGAGTGTGTAGGGTATGTGTTATGTGTTATTGTAGAGGATCTAATGTGTGTGCTTATGGAATGTAGTGTATAGGGATACCAGTTTGTGTAGGTGATGCAGTGTTTTTTGGATAGAAAGCAGTGTGTGTTTGTGTGTAAGGCATGTATTGTGTTTCTGGTTGTGTTTAAGGGATGCATTGTGTGAATCTGTGTTTGTATGTGTAAGGGATGCAAGGTGTGTTTCTGTGTATGTAAGGGATGCAGTGCGTGTGTCTGTAAGGTGTGCATTGAGTGTGTGTAGGAGATGCATTGTGTTTCTGTGTGTGTGTAAGAGAAGCAGTGTGTGTGTAAGGGATGCATTGTTTGTTTCTGTGTATGTGTGCAAGGGATGAATTGTCTTTGTGTGTAATGGATGCATTATATGTTTCTCTGTGTGTAAGGGAAGCATGGTGTGTTTCTGTGTGTGTAGGGATGCATTGTGTGTTTTTGTGTATGTATAGGGAAGCATTGTGTGTCTAGTGTGAAAGAGAGAGTTTGTGGGGTAGGATAGGGGCCATGGGCGTCCGCGAGGCAAGGGGGCACTTGCCTGGATTTTTCAGCTTGTTCTGCTATTTTTTGTGTGAGATTGAAAATGAACTGCAATACCGGCGCCGGCCAGCTGCATCTTATCCCTGCTTCTCTCTGCTGATTGAAACCGCAGGGGAACAACACATGCAGCCAGAGACAGCCTACAGATCAGGTAAGCAGCCTATAGATTTGGGGGGGGCAGCAGCCTATAGATTTGGGTGGGCAGCAGCCTATACATGGGGGGGGCAGCAGCCTATAGATTTGAGGCAGCAGCCTAGATTAGGAGTGAGGCTGGGGGGCAGCAGCCTATGGGTGGGGGCAGCCTATAGATTTGGGGCAGCAGCCTATAGAATTAGCAGCCTATGGGTGGGAGGCTGGGGGCAGCAGCCTATGGGTGGGAGTGAGGCTGGGGGGCAGCAGCCTATAGATTAGGGAGTGAGGCTGGAGGGGCAGCAGCCTATAGATTTGGGGGGGGCAGCCTATAGAGTGGGGGCGGCAGCAGCCTATAGATTAGGGAGTGAGGTTGGGGGGGGCAGCAGCCTATAGATTAGGGAGTGAGGCTGGGTGGGGGCAGCCTATAGATTAGGGGAGTGAGGCTGGGGGGGGGGCAGCAGCCCATAGATTAGGGGAGTGAGGCTGGGGGAGCAGCAGTTTGAAGATTAGGGGAGTGAGGCATGGGTGGCAGCCTATAGATTAGGGGAGTGAGCACAGGCGTGCGCAGCCTATTGCATTATATATATATATATATATAGCTGTGTGTGTGTGTGAGGGTGTTGGTAGTGTGCTACGTGGGTGAGGGTGTTTTGTGTGTTTTTGTGAGAGTGCTGTTAGTGTGCTGTGTATGTGTGTGTGAGAGGGTGTTTGTGTGTGCGTGTTTGTTCGGGTCCTGTTAGTGTGCTGTGTGTGGGTGTTGTGTGTTTGTCAGGGTGCTGTTTGTGTGTGAGTGTGCTGTTTGTGTGTGGGTGTTGTGTGTGGGTTTTGTGTGTTTGTGACAATGCTGTTAGTGTGCTGGGTGTGTGTGGGTGTTGTATGTGTGTGGGTGCTGTGTATGCGAGGGTGATGTATGTGTGTGGGTGCTGTTTGTGGGCTGTGTGTGCAGTGTGTAGGTGCTGTGTGTGTGTGTGTGCTGTATGTTTGGGTGGAGGTGGGGGCAGATTAGTTAATATGCCAGTCCTGCTGCCTTCCCTGGTGGTTCAGTGGAGAGTGAACTCTAGCCCGGGTTCTCTGCTGCCTCCCTCCATGCTGCTGTGGACTGGTGAGGTAGAACTTTGATCTCCCCACCGGCCCATGGAGGCTTAGACGAGAGCCGCCGCTCGGATAGTGTTGGCTCTGTATGAGCCGACCGGGGAGATCCAGAGATCTCCCCTGCTGGTCTCAATCCATTGGTGTGCCGCGGGGATTAGGGTGTGCCCAGGCGCACGGGGTGTGCTGTGTGTGGGTGTTGTGTGTTTGTCAGGGTGCTGTTTGTGTGTGGGTGCTGTGCGGGTGTTGTGTGTGGGTTTTGTGTGTTTGTGAGGATGCTGTTAGTGTGCTGGGTGTGTGTGGGTGTTGTATGTGTGTGGGTGCTGTGTATGCGAGGGTGATGTATGTGTGTGGGTGCTGTTTGTGGGCTGTGTGTGCTGTGTGTAGGTGATGTGTGTGTGTGTGTGCTGTATGTTTGGGTGGAGGTGGGGGCAGATTAGTTAATATGCCAGTCCTGCTGCCTTCCCTGGAGGTTCAGTGGAGAGTGAACTCTAGCCCGGGTTCTCTGCTGCCTCCCTCCATGCTGCTGTGGACCGGTGAGGTAGAACTTCGATCTCCCCACTGGCCCATGGAGGCTTAGACGAGAGCCGCTGCTCGGATAGCGTCGGCTCTGCATGAGCCGACCGGGGAGATCCAGAGATCTCCCCTGCCGGTCTCAATCCATTGGCGTGCCGCGGGGATTAGGGTATGCCCAGGCACACCCGACACACCCCGTGCGCACGCCTATAGAAGTGAGGGATAGGAGAGACAGCCTACATGAAGAGTCAGCAAGGAGCAGGAAGGTAAAGTAAGAAAAGGAGAAGGAACAGAAATGAGCAGGAAGGGACATCAAGGAGCAGAAAGGGGCAGCAAGGAGCTGGAAGGCACAGCAAGGAGCACAAAAGGTAAAGTAGGAGAAGGAGCACAAAGGAACAGAAATGAACAGGAAGGGTCAGCAAGGAGCTGGAAGGTAAAGCAGCACAAAGGTAAAGTAGAAGGAGCAGAAAGGCTCAGAAATGAGCTGGAAGGGGCAGAAGGAGCACAAAGGTAAAATAGGAGAATGAGCAGGAAGGGCCTGCAAGGAGCAGGAAGGAGCACAAAGGTAAAGGAGAAGAAAGAATCAGAAGGAGCACAAAGGTAAAGTAGGAGAAGGAGCAGAAAGGGACAGCAAGGAGCACAAAGGTAAAGTAGAAAAGGGAGCAGAAAGGGATCAAAATGAGAAAGGAGCAGAAGGGCGCAAAATAAGCAGAAAGTAGCAGAAAGGTAAAAGAGCAGAAGGGGCCAAGGATAGAAAACAGTGTCAGAAGAAAAAAAATACTGTCAAATGAAGGAGAGGAAAAGGAGATTGGAGCATGAAGGACAAATGAAGTGAACCCTCCACTTTATTCTGGACACCACATCATAAGGCTTTGGTACCTGGGCCAGGCAGGGAAATGCTGGACCTTCTCATCTCCAAAGGTAGAACTTCGATCTCCCCACTGGCCCATGGAGGCTTAGACGAGAGCCGCTGCTCGGATAGCGTCGGCTCTGCATGAGCCGACCGGGGAGATCCAGAGATCTCCCCTGCCGGTCTCAATCCATTGGCGTGCCGCGGGGATTAGGGTGTGCCCAGGCACACCCGACACACCCCGTGCGCACGCCTATAGAAGTGAGGGATAGGAGAGACAGCCTACATAAAGAGTCAGCAAGGAGCAGGAAGGTAAAGTAAGAAAAGGAGAAGGAACAGAAATGAGCAGGAAGGGACATCAAGGAGCAGAAAGGGGCAGCGAGGAGCTGGAAGGGACAGCAAGGAGCACAAAAGGTAAAGTAGGAGAAGGAGCACAAAGGAACAGAAATGAACAGGAAGGGTCAGCAAGGAGCTGGAAGGTAAAGCAGCACAAAGGCAAAGTAGAAGGAGCAGAAAGGGTCAGAAATGAGCTGGAAGGGGCAGAAGGAGCACAAACATAAAGTAGGAGAATGAGCAGGAAGGGCCTGCAAGGAGCAGGAAGGAGCACAAAGGGACAGCAAGGAGCACAAAGGTAAAGGAGCAGAAAGAATCAAAAGGAGCACAAAGATAAAGTAGGAGAAAGAGCAGAAAGGGACAGCAAGGAGCACAAAGGTAAAGTAGAAAAGGGAGCAGAAAGGGACAGCAAGGAGCACAAAGGTAAAGTAGAAAAGGGAGCAGAAAGGGTCTGCAAGGAGCAGAAAGGGATCAGAATGAGAAAGGAGCAGAAGGGCGCAAAATAAGCAGAAAGTAGCAGAAAGGTAAAAGAGCAGAAGGGGCCAAGGATAGAAAACAGTGTCAGAAGAAAAAAAATACTGTCAAATGAAGGAGAGGAAAAGGAGATTGGAGCATGAAGGACAAATGAAGTGAACCCTCCACTTTATTCTGGACACCACATCATAAGGCTTTGGTACCTGGGCCAGGCAGGGAAACGATGGACCTTCTCATCTCCAAAGGTAAAAAAATATCAGTATTAATGTGTTCACTTTTATTTACTGAATGTCAGGAAGCACAGAGTGCCGTTGGGTAGGGGTGTTGCTGATTGGCTAGAGCGGCCAGCTGGCACTCTAAGCCAATCAGTAGCTCCCCATTCATAAAAAAGTAAAAATATTTTATGAACCGGGAACTAGCGATTGGCTTAGAGCGTCAACTGACCACTCTAGCCAATCAGCGGCACCCATGCCTGACGCCAATCTGCACTTCCTGACACTCTGTTTCAGAAGCCAAATACCACTGAGCGACCTGGAGCTGGAGGAAGCATTTGGGGTTAAACCATTTGAGAGCGATTTAACCCCTTAAAGGAAAGCGAGCACCCAGGGGCTTCCTGGCATCATAGCATTTTCATTTAGGTGAAGTTGTTATGGTGACCAGAATGGTCCTTTAATTTGCTTAAAGGAACACTATAGTGTCAGGAATACAAACATATATTCCTGACACCATAGTTGTGAAAACGCTATTCACCCTGGTTTTATGTGATAATGGCTGTGCCCCTTCCTCATGACACTGTCAAAATGTACCAAGTATGATGTCATTACACTATGCCCTCGAAAATTTTAAGTGACGTTTCATGATAGGGGCTGAGTCCTACCAGTCCCTTTGTGCTTCTCTTTCCCCCCTTCCTCAGCATCTCTCCCCTCTTGTCCCTTAGAGATCTCCTCTGTCCCTTAGTGAACTCCCTACCCGCTTTCCCGTTGTGCTCTCCCCTCCTGTCTCATAGTGCTCTCTCCTACCCTCTCCTGTCCCTTAGTGCTCTCTCCTACCCCTTCCTCATAGAGCTCTCCCCTGTCCCTTAGTGGTCTCTCCTCTCCCCCACCCCATTTTTGGTCTCTGCTCTCCTCTGCCCCCCCCACTAGTGTTCTCCTCTCCCCCCTTTCCACTCAGTGAGCACTTCCCGTCTGTCCGGGTGCAGGAAACGGATGCTCCTGTGTTGCGGACCAGACCGGAGCTCGGCCACGTTACACTGAGGGACTGGCAGGACCTGCTGATCCCTCATATCTTGTGCAGTGTTGCAGCCGCCTAAGGCTCTCTATACAGCGCAGAGGCGGCTGCAGCATGAGGGGGGTCAGTGCTCCTGGTGGCGCCCCTTCCTAAGTAGACTATAGGAAGGGCTGGCCCTGTGTGTTATGGGGTTTTAGAAAGTTATAGGATCAAATAGAGGCTTGCCCATTTCGGTCTCCATACCTGAAAATTTGAGAAAGTGATGATCTGGGCCTTTCTGTTGCATTTGAGAGGGTATGGCAGCCTGAGTAATAGCATTTCCACCATTATGGCATACCATTTTCAAAAGTAGGCAACACAGTATTCCAAATGCGTATTTTCAGATCTTTGGTCACTTTATCACAAATACTGGCCCCATTTAGTGGCCAAAATTTCTTCTGTGTTTTCACATACATGAATTCCATTATCACAGCAAATTTCATCATCCTGACATGAGTTAGTGCAATAAATCCACAGACTTTTTATTTCACATTCTCTCACAAATATAAGAGTACCCCTAGGTACCGTTTTTTCTGGTAAGTCACTTGGTTAAATATATTAGATGCCTTTTTCAACTTGTAAATTTGACAAAGTGATATTCTGAGCCTGTTGCATTTGTGACAGTATGGCAGCTCAGGAAATAAAATGACCCCCGTGATGGCATATCGTTTTAAAAATATAGGCAACCCACGGTATTCCAGATGTAATTTGAGTTGCTTGATCAAGCCACTTTATCACAAATGCTGGACCCATTTAGTAGTCATACATTTTTGTGTGTTTTTTCACACACATGAATTCTATTTTCACAGTAAATGTTCTAATTTCGATATGTGCTAGTGGAATCAAGCCTCAATAGATTGGGGGACTGGGTATATAATATATCGGACAAAAGTTTTAACATGAAATTGGTAAGGCTTCCCTATAACTGCTTTGTTATACACATAAGACTTGAAAATTGCAACCTGGCTTAAATAATTTGCAGTTTTCTTGTACAAGGACCTACTTGTACAGTTAAGGCTGTATACAGTACATTGATCAACTCCCTCCATATACTTGCTATAGTCTACCATGCACTTAAAATTTTCCAGCTGCTCAGTTTTTCCTCTGACAGACAGTGGCACTGTATTTTCATTATGCACGGTAGACACCATGTACACATCTTTCTTATATCTGAACCGAAGGACCAGCAATTCATCCTGGCGTAGAGCTGAAGAGGAGTTTATACTGGTTTTGCTGCTTGCTAAGGTTTGGGGGAAACCACTGCATGTTTTATGCAATGTGCATGCTTAGGTTTTGAATAAAAATATATCAATACTGGTATAATAATTATCAACCCATAGATAATAGCCCATATATAACAAGGGGAGGATTAGATGCCACACAATGTTGCTGTTTGTGCCCACAGAATCAGGGCATGTTGGTGGGTCAAGATAGCTATCCTTCCCTTGAAAAATCAGAAACTCCCATGTATAGCCAGTAGTAGATTAACATAATTTATAGAATTTGATGTCATATCATGACCCATTCCATGCGATATATTGTTTGAAAAGCAGTCTTCCTTTAAATTTCATACTCAATTTGTCAATACAAGTGTTTTGGTCTGGGATATAATTTTGGAACAATTTGTTAGACAGGAGTTAGATAAGGGGCTGAATTTTGTAAAACGAACAAAGGGTTGTTTCTAGGCAGCCAGTGCTTTATCGTTAAAATCGAGGAAACAATATTTGCTCGTAGCAAATTCTCCTTATAACCCCTGGGGAAGAGGGGTAGCCAGGATGAGGTGCTTGTTCAAGTTTAACCTGATACTTGGCTTTTCACCCATTACTTGGGTTAAAGCCCACATTTTTTCATGGCTGCGTCATAACGTGCCACATGTTTTTCTACTGTATTTGATCCCCAAATCGCAGGCAGATACTGGCTGGCAAACAAGTTGGTTTGCCAACCATCTGTTTAAATATGTCTGGCATAAAAAGGCTAAAATAGTTCACTGGCTTGCAAACATCTACCGTTGTTGTAATGCCAGGTGTGAATGGGGTTATTTCAAGGGCAGTAAAGTTTGAAGGTACTTAGCTTTCCTCTGGCATGGTGGGGCGTCCTAAGCAACTTCTTGTAGATGTTGGTGAGGTCTCATCGCTGGAGGACTCACTTAGGGGATCAATGTAAGAGGCTGTCATAGTGTCACTGTCTGAAAGAGTGTTGCTAATAGAGCCTGTCAGAATGGCATACACCGCCTCCGCTGTATAATAGTGTGCCATTTTAGGGGGATTCAGTTAAGCTATGTCACTAAGGGGTTAATTTATTTCATTCACCTAACTGCCTAGTAACACTACCCCTTGCACGGTTTACCTGAGGTGAGAGTCCGGTAAGCAGAGATTTGTACTCACCCTTGTAGATAGACACAGTCCAAGGTGATAAGGTTAGAAACCACCAGCACCGTGAATCTGTGCTCAGATTCGCTATGCATGAAAGGTACTCCAATTCACAGTACAGAGGACACAAGCAGAAGGATCGTCGAGGATAAGCCAACGTTAGAGGATGCCAGAGGTCAAGATAAACAAGGAGGAAAGCCAAGGTCAGGAGCCGGGGTCAATCTGGAGAACAAGTATCAAGAGACAAAACAGGAACAATACACAATCACCAGAATCAAAAAACTGACAATGTTCTCATGGAGAGGCAGGTTTAAATACCTTGCCAATAACCTATCTGCCTCAGGTGAGCATAGAGAGATAGTGCTGCAGACAAGGCGAGATAGGACAACAGGCAGAAACATGAACTGAAGTGTGGCAAGAGGCAAGACAGTAGGACTAAGTCAGCAAGAGTCCAGAGTTAAAATCCCCTTTTTGGCACCTATGGAACGGTCACACCTGGCCGTCTGGATGTCACAGTTCCCCAATTACCATTTCCACCCACAAAAAAACATGCCACTACAAAAAAATAAAGGAACTCTATGGGGGTCAGCAACACAAACGTATTCCTGACAACATAGTGGTCCTCTAGATATAGTATTCCAGTCTGCTGTTGCAGGCTCTGCCCCTGTTCTGCCTCCTTGGCTCACATCATCAGGAGTGGTGATCCCATAGGGAAGCATTGGATTGGCTGAGATTGTCAAGGAGGCAGAAGCACAAGATAAACACAGCCCTGGCTAATCAGCATCTCCTCATAGAGATACATTGAATCAATGCATCTCTATGAGGAAAGTTCAGTGTCTCCATGCACACTGTGGAGTGGCTAGTAAAGGTATCCCTAGGCTGTAATGCTGTAAATTTATTTTTATTAAGAGATTTTCAGATTAAGAGTTCACAGAGTGCTTGAACCATTGCAGGATAATTTAGCACACACAGGTACTTTAAGAGTAAGATAAAACAAAACATAACATAAGGGAGAAACGCAGTGCTCAACAAGTAAATGAAGAGACATGCAGGTCCCACGCAGGGCAAATGTAATTATAGAGTCTTTCATCGTAAAAAGAACTGTACACAGTGCAATGTAGAATAAGTGACTAGTCTTGCACCTCTACCTTCCCAGAAACATGGGGAAAAAAAATATTTAAAAAAGAGAGTCAATGTTACTCACAGACAAAAAACTGTGAAAATAACTGAATTCCGACTGCATTGACAATTATAATATTTACTAGGGGGGCAGGGCCTGACTGCTGACTGAGCAGGACACATATCACAAGAGCTTCTAGCTGAAATTGCTGTGGATCATGATAAAAATATACCCATATCATCAAGAGACTCTCATCTGTATTGTCCTTGGGATACTTATTGCTTGCTTCAGACAACAGTTTTCTGTGATTGCGAATGAGGCCTATCAAGGCAGGGATGTGGCCGATTCCACGCTCTCTATCAGATCGGTTAACAGAGCCCTGCTCTGCAACCACTTTGGACTGGTGGAGCCCATTCTGGTCCTTGTTACGGTTGCTGTTACCCTTACACACAGGAAAAAGAATACCCACAGAGTGGGGGTCCAAAAGCCATATTACTTGGCTCTAGAGTGGCCGGATTTAACGAATTTAAAAGAGAGATTCAAAGTGAGGAATAGCCGATGTCATGAATACAGAGATACAGATACAAGAAAAACAAGCCAATTTAGGATAATAGGAATATAGAAATCAATATACAGGCCAGATCAGGATACTAGAAATACATAGGTCAATATACAAGCCGGGTCAGGATACCAGAAGATAACAGGGTCAAAACGAAGCCAAGGTCAATAAAGGGAGAGTCCCAGGAACACTAAACGAGTTACGAAACAGAAACAACAACAGAGCAATGAGTAAGGGCCTGAATAGACTTTTAAGACTCCGAAGAGCATGGCGGTCGCCTAGATAATGCAGCCCCTTTAAGAGCATTACATCAAGTTTTACAATTTTATTTAAGGGCCTGTAGTTCAGCCCGCGAACCAGCAGAGGGAGCCATTTGCAGGACCGATGTTAAGTATTAGCCATTCAGGCTCCACGTGGGCACGCGTCCTGAGCACAGGTGCTTTATGTCCACGAGACCTGCGCCAGGTAAGTCTGTTACAGTCCTCACCAGAACAGTTGCCAAATGTCCCTTCTACTCTGGAGACGCGGATGGCTAAAGATTACCAACAACCTGATTTACCTAAGATGGCAGCTATCTCTATATCACTACAGGTACAGGCGGTGGAGAAACAGCAGAAGCAGGAAGACGCTTTTTTTATGGTGCAGGGAGCTCCAACGGCTAATATTTATTGTTTGGCTGATGGTGGTGGGGTGGGAGACTACTGAATATTATTCTGAGCATTTCCACTATTCCCTATAACATTTCTCAGCAGATGGGCCTAACTAGGCTGGGAGTAACTTGAAGATGGAACCCTTCACATCGCAAAGCTGCTTGGAGAGGTGGGAAAAGACCTGGACATTCGTTCTGGATAGGTCTGTGGCACTTTGGTGGGGCTTGCAAGGTGTGATGCTGGGGATCCTTTACTACTCTCGTGGGTCATTGAACAGGACTTGTGAAATCTCTCTAGTGCTCCCCAATGGGATGACTGCAGGCCTTTGGAAGTTACTTTCGTCTATGCATCAAAGCAAACACAATTTGTCTAGCCTCCAGGTGGTTTACACACCTGTCTTTTAAAAAAAATGTTATTTGAGTTATAATTTTATTTCCTTATGCTAATAAGCCTTAATTAATAAGCTACGTTACAATATTATTAGCTATTGGATGCAACTATTAGTCCTAATCAGTTTATATATAATCAATTTATTTATAGTTGTGCTCACAAGTTTGCTTACCATTGGAGAATTGGTAATATATGTACCACATTTAAAGAAATCATAAGTGAGCAGGTAAAACACATTTCTTTTATTTCTTATAGGATTCATATTCAACTGTAGGTTATAACAAAATGGCACAATCATAAAACAAAACATGGCAATAAAGAAAAAGATGAAATGACCCCTGTTCAAAAGTCTGCATACCCTTAGTTCTTAATACTGTGTATTGCCCACTTTAGCATCAATGACAGCATGCAGCCTTTTGAATTAGTTGTCTATGAGGATTCTAATTATTGCAGGTGGTATAGCTGCCCATTCGTCTTGGCAAAATGCCTCCAGGTCATGCAAAGTCTTTGCTTGTCTTGCATGAATTGCATGTTTGAGCTATCCCCAGAGTGGCTTGATTATATTAAAGTCAGGGTACTGTGATGGCCACTCCAGAACCTTCACCTTTTTCTGCTGTAACCACTGGATGGTCAACTTGGCCTTGTGCTTAGGGTCATTGTCATGCTGGAAAGTCCACGAGTGTCCCATGCGCAGCCTTTGTGCTGAAGAATGCAAATTGTCTGCCAGTATTTTCTGATAACATGATGCATTAATCTTGCCATCAGTTTTCATAAGATTTTCCGTGCCTTTAGAGCTCACCCCCCCGGTCTCGTCACTCCAAATTACAGTGTGCCAGAAGCTGTCAGGCAAGTTAAGGTATTGTCAGGCATGATGTAACCGAACTTTTTTGTGGCATTGGGGCAGTAAAGACTTCTTTCTGGTAATTTGATCATGCAGCTAATTTTTGTCCAAGTATCGTCATATTGTGCTCCTTGAAACAGCCACGCCACACTTTTTCCAGAGCAGCCTGTATTTCCCTGGAGGTTACCTGTGGGTTTTTCTTTGTATCTCAAACAATTCTTCTGGCAGTTGTGGCTGAAATCCTTCTTGGTCTACCTGACCTTGGCTTGGTATTAAGAGATGCCTGAATGCTACACATCTAAATAAGTGATTGAACAGTACTGACTGGCATTTTTAAGGCTTTGGATATCTTTTTATATCCTTTTCCATCTTTATAAAGTTACATTACCTTGTTACCAGGTCTTTTGACAGTTTTTTTCTGCTGTGTTTATCTTGTGCGGCTCTGCCCTGATCTGCCTCCTTGACAATCTCAGCCAATCCAATGCTTTCCTATGCGATCCCCACTCCTGATGATGTGAGCCAAGGAGGCAGAACAGGGGCAGAGCATGCAACAGCAGACTGGTATACTATATCTAGAGCACCACTATGTTGTCAGGAATACATTTGTGTTGCTGACCCCCATAGAGTTCCTTTATTTTTTGTAGTCGGTTTTTTTTTGTGGGTGGAAATGGGAATTGGGGAACCGTGACATCCAGACAGCCAGGTGTGGCCGTTCCATAGGTGACAAAAAGGGGATTTTAACTCTGGACTCTTGCTGCCTTAGTCCTACTGTCTTGCCTCTTGCCACACTTCAGTTCATGTTTCTGCCTGTTGTCCTATCCTGCCTTGTCTGCAGCCTTGTCCCATGGCTCAGTATCTAGCCTGCTCAGTGCATCCATGTGAGAGCTAACAAACTCATTGTCTATTTATACACAGACACTGATTGCAATTTAAAAAGCCACAGGTGAGGGAAATAAACATTTAATTGACATTTTAACCTGTGTGTGTCACCATGTGTGTCTTTAACAAGGCCAAACATTTAAGGTTATGTAAACGTTTGATCAGGACCATTTGGGTGATTTATGTTATCATTATGATTTAAAAAGGAGCCAAACAACTATGTGATAATAAATTGCTTCATATGACCAAACTTTTCAGTCAAATCATTTTTTGCATAAAAGTTGTCTTCTTCTGTGTCATTTAGGCTTGTGACATTTAAAAAGTAGAGATATGTGGCGGTGCAATTGTCTGTTTTTCTTTTGTTATCAATCTACTCTTTATTTAAAAATAAAGAGGTACAACCAATTTGACTACTATATATGATGTCACATGTAATTTGTTCTTGATAACACCATGTACTTTGGTTTTTACACATACACCTCAGAACAAAGTTAAAAAAAATAAAATTAAAATAAAGTAGCTTCTGAAATAAAATATGCCAGATGTGGTTGGTATTCGGTCGCCCTGAGCAATTTTGCAGCAATAGCTAGGACACATTCGGATTAAATCTGTGTTTATGCATCTGAATTCTATGCAAAGTATAGGAATAGGAAGGTTCACAAAGCAGCGGTTTTAATAAAAAAGAACTGAAAGCACCCGGTATCATGTGAATAGTAAGTTTAAGTTCTATATGCCTGCCGGCAAAGAAAAAACCCTCCTTGGGTTATAAAAATTCACAAAACAGAAAAACTGCTGTGAAAAAAATAAAAACATAATGCAATAAAATGTATTAATCTTTGCCCATGGAGTACTAACCACAGACTGACCTCTGATAACAAGGAAAGTCTATTGCAAAGCATGGGGAAAATTTTCAACATTCAAGGATGTCCCCTCCTTGCTTATTTTATGACATGTCCCTAACCACTACCCACGGAATATGCCCACCCCCCCATTGCCTGTTTAAAAGTCCCCCACTGGGGGGATATTTTGTTTTTTTGGAATAGTGTGGATTTGTGATCAACGTGCAATTTATTAACTCTAAATTTTGGAAAATGGAAACAAAACAAAAAAAGATTAATTGCAATAAAACCAACAGTATGAAATCTGCTGGAAGGACGGTCTACATATGAGATTCTATACAAAAACAGTCTTTGAGTGGGATCCCAGGCAATCTCTGAGTAATGCTTTCCATTAGTATCTGATAAGAAAAAATACACTCTTGTATGTCTGGAGCTCTATTTGTCTGTGGGATTTTGTTCAGTCTGTCTCCTCTTCTCTTCCAAGCTCCATTAACAAGCTGATTACAATATTTGTTCTCCCAAATCCTTCCCTAGGTCATCTTTCACTGCCAAGTAAAAGAAAAGCCCACAGCTGATTAGTAAACAAAGCACAATTGCCATGTTAATTTGCTGCTAATTAGACATTTTGACCACCAGAGGGCAACATAGGATCCCGGTGATTTGTATATTGTCTGTTAAAAATATTTATGTAACATATATTGAATATATGTAACCACCAGATTACACGGCACACTAAAACACTGCATGAATCATCAAATGAGACTTATCATAAAATCAATGGAAAATTGACATATTATATTAACACATAAATAATAACTGTTACTTTCCTTCAACCAAAAACATTGAAATTACCACCATTTTGTATCCTGATTACAAATAAAATGGCAAAGAAAACATTACTCATCACACAGAAAAAACATTTGATTATTGTGCAAGAGATTCGTGTCTGTATGAATTGCAAGTTTAACCTAATGGCATAATATAGAAATAGTAAAGACCCAAAGATGTTAGTTGTTGAAACGACCACTATAGGCACCCAGGCCACTTCAGCTCAATGAAGTGGTCTGGGTGCCAGGCCCATCTAGTGTTAACCCTGCAGCTGTAAACATAGCAGTTTCAGAGAACCACAACCCAGGTATATTTGATGAAGAGTGCATATACCTAGCATTTTCAACTTAAAGACTCCTTTAACTTACATTTTAAAACTATGTGTTATATATCACTGGTATAATATAGGGTTTTTTTTTGTCACAGCAAAAGGTAAACATTTTCTAGGGCTTCACTATGAACCTTTCTCAAGTTTTAGTAACATTAAGACACATTTATGACCTTGGAAGATACATGTTGATGCAGAAATGTATGCTCTACCTGCAGTCTTGAGATTTCAGATAACAATTGTATCTAGTATCTGATATTTCTTAAAATACTGGCATAATATTGCTGCAGCGGGTGTTGTTTGCTGCTCAGTGGATCAAACTGGATGAGTGGTACTCCAAGGAGGAGGTAAGAGACTTCCTGGAAGACTACATAATTCCTACCATGAGCTATGAAGTGAGATACAAGGCATAGCAATATCAGCAGAATTGTTTATAAAATAACTAATTTCATTCATGGGTCTTAATAAACCTTGTTGATTTACTACTACAGGAATGCACTTCTATGAACATAAATACTTATATACATAAGTATCTGATCTCCTACCACGGAGAAAGTAATTTATAGTTAACCTCTTGGTATTTTAAACTTATGCTTTTGCGATTTAAGATGAAGATTTTAGCCCACTGACTATTGGTGAATGACTAGTTCAATGTTGTCTCCTATTCTCTTTTGAACTGTATCCTCCCTTCTAAAAACAGATGTTGATACAAGCCAAAGATGGCCCTCTCCAAATCACTGCTTCCTATGCACAGGCCGTCAATAGAAGTCAGCTCCCTGTGGACCTTTTCCTTGTCAGGTATAGTGTGGCAGAATTGGGTAATTTGTAGATACCTGCATTGTTCCATTAGAGGGGCCTTCCCTACCCACTGATAACTCCTGCAGGCTCCGCATGCCTCTCTGTTTTCATATGACTAATAAAAGCATAGGGTCCTTGTCTCAGGAACTGTA